ACCAAAAAAAAAAAAAAAAAAAAAGTAAAAAAACACATCTGATGCACATTATTTATTCATAATTTTGTAGAAGTAGAGTTACAAATATTTTGCAAGATGGGAATTCATAATTACGACTTCCCAACTTGTAAATACAAACCTCAAAAAATGTAGAAGTGAAAGCTCAGGTCTCGCAAAGCCTGTCAAGAAATGTTTGACAACAAAACTAGGACCATTAAGGTTTTTTTTTTTTTTTTTGCAACTGGATTATTTCCATGACCCTAAACACATTTTAGCCCCCAGACCTCATCACAAAAATGTGCTGTGATATTTTAACTTTTAACATTTTAAATGAAATACCCTCATTACCACAATACAGTATTTTTTTTTTTAAAGATTTTTAAAGTCAAGCATTAAAAGGCAGGAGAACACATACTAGATAGATGTGTACATATTTTTTAAATAATATATAATTTTGTCGGCTCTGATAACCTTGTGGTTAGTGCGTTGACATATGTGACCCTGGAGCACAAAAGCAGTCTTAAGTCGCTGGGGTATATTTGTAGCAATAGCCAAAAATACATTGTATGGGTCAAAATGATTGATTTTTATTTTATGCCAAAAATCATTAGGATATTAAGTAAAGATCATGTTCCATGAAGATATTTTGTAAATTTCCAACCGTAAATATATTAAAACTTAATTTTTGATTAGTAATATGCATTGCTAAGAACTTAATTTGGACAAATTTAAAGATGATTTTCTCAATATTTAGATTTTTTTGCACCCTCAGATTCCAGATTTTCAAATAGTTGTATCTCAGCCAAATATTGTCCTATCCTAACAAACCATACATCAATGGAAAGCTTTCAGATGATGTATAAATCTCGAAAAATGGACCCTTATGACTGGTTTTGTGGTCCAGGGTCACATATAATGCCTCGAGGTCTTTTGCCGATCCCACTTCCCTCTCTCCACCCAACCTTTCCTGTCAGCTCTCTACTGGCCTCTCCCATTAAAGGCATAAAAAGTCCATAAATATTTCTTTAAAAAAATAAAATGCTATATGGTTTTTATTTTAATATTTCATTTTTTTTGGAGTCAAATGTGACATTCTCCGGAAAGGTTTTGTAAAAATCATTAAAACTGCCATTAAGATGCTAACAGATAGCTTTCTTCTGTTATATGACCTTTTCTGGGCAGTTTTATAATAATTAGATTAGTGATTCTGAGATCTGAAACAGCTCAAGTGCATAATGTAATCAGATAATTATTAAAACCATTAAATTTAAAATCAATCAGGGGTTTGGTTCATTGGTTCTTTATTCCTTTGCAAAACATCTAGTGAAAAAGAAAACAGATGCAAAAATAGAACAGATCAGTAGAATGACAGCATGAAACAGGCGCAGACTGGATAATTTTATCCGACTGGTCAGTTCCAATGATACTTATTTTCTTTGACATCGTCAAATGACAGTGAAAAAATGACTACAGGAGTAACAGTGAGTCTAGATCACAGACATGATGTGTCACACTGTGTACATGAGTGAACAGCCGGATGAGTCAGCGGAAGTATGGTCACTTGTGTTTCTTCAATAAGCATGGTTGGCCACAAACAGAGACTCTCCCGCCGCTGCTGCGGTGTCTCCTTTGGAGACATATTTACCAGCGGCTGCTGCGCTGTTGTTCTGTAGAGGAAATTGACACATGAGATTAGTGAAATACAGGAACAGTGAGATCATGGATGTCAAAAATGTTTGCACAGACGCATCGGCCGAATAATTAACGTTTCATTGTGTAAGGTTGTTTATGTACTATGGCTCTCTTGACAAATTCCTCCTGGCAGGCCTTGCCATTCTCCTTCTTGCCCCCCCAGGCTTTCAGTGCGGAGGCTTGCAGGGCACGACCGTAAGAGAAGGTGAGGGCCCAGGGTTTGCTTAGGGGACACTGGTTAATGGCGCTCAGATTGATTGAGGCCTCCTCCTCACTCTGGCCTCCGGACAGGAAGGTAATGCCTTTTAGAGCAGAAGATGGTAGACATTGGAGTTGTGATCTTTGAATCGATCAAACGTTGAACTACATGATGTGTCAATGCAATGTGTAAAAAAATCTATATTTTTTTTACATATTTATGAGATATACTAGAAGACTTGTTTGTTATAAAAATGTCAAATTGTCACTGAGCGGTCATCGGATTTTAGATTAGTTAGAAATTTCCATTTTTAATATTTATTTATCTGTATAAATGTTCTTTTCACCTCATTTTGTTGTGTATGCCCTAAAGAGGATATTTTCTGATTTTCAAAAAAAAACAAAAAAAAACTATTTGTTCTGGATGTCAGGATTTGCAATTTCAAATAGTTCATTTATATGTTTGCTATAATGAGTTAAAAAAAAAAAATGAAGTGTTCGTGCTTGAATTAATATTGTTGGTTTACTTGGATATTTAAATGATCTCAACAAATTTTAAGTTGTTATTACTTACTGCAGCAGCATGTTTACAGTGCATAATATCAATATTAATATACATATCGCTGAATCAAATCACAATCGTATCGTGCCATGTTTTGACGTTTCTACAAATATTGTATGGCTGTCTAGGAGAATCAATGTCAGGCTGTATCGTCATAAAACGTATGATTTATATGTGTAATTTATAGTCAAATTCAATTCAGTTTGCACAGAGATTTTTATACAAAAAAAATTGGCATTGTGGGAGTAACACACAAACGAAGATAATCACTGCGTTACATTCTGAAGGTCTTATCACTACAACCCTTCAATATTGTGGCCATGATTATTCCGAAGTGCCATTCGAAGGGGGATTTAGCAGAATGAAGAAATAGTGAATCTGACTCACCGGGAACGGCAGGGGGAACAGTGCGACGCAGGGCGGTGACAGTTGCCATGGCAATTTCTTGAGGGGCGTACTTGTGGGAGCAAGAGTGACCGGCGGTCACCATGTTGGGTTTTAGAAGGGTTCCTTCCAGGTACACGTGGTGGTCTGACAGAGCCTTGTACACAGCTGCCAGGACCTTCTCCGTCACATACTGGCACCTCTTCAGATCATGGTCACCATCAGGCAGGATCTCAGGCTCCACAATGGGCACGATGCCATGCTGAGAAAGACAACAGCAACCAATATATGTGAATTGTGACACCTTGCGTATGTGAATACTTTAAGTCAGGTCACAGACAGCAGGGAAAAAAACAAAAAGTATAAATGCAACACAATACAAATATAGCCATGCAAAAAAAGAAATGGTAAAAACGTTCAATATATTTTCTTGTTTACGTCAACAAATGCATCACAAACAAATTACATCACATATTAACTATAATTATTAAAGGTGCATTCAATAGTAAGTTTAACACATTAAGAAGCAAATTATGTTTTTGTGAATAGTATATGCTCAAATGAGATGAAGAATGCATTCATAATAGTTTATGAATGCCCCATTTATTGTATTTCGCCATGTTTAAATGACACACCCCGTGGTTTTTTGCCAATGCTCTGAGAGAATCCTCGCACTCATTGGCTGCCGCCTCTGTGGATACACTAGTGGCATAGTGTTGTTTGCACAAGTCTTTTTTTGCACAAGTCAAAAACCCCCTCGAGCGAGTGTACAAACATTTTTGCAAATTAAGTTTCTGATGCGTTACTTAAAAATGCAGAAACATCTCTAAATCTCAGTATTATCAATGTAATTTACATAAAATTACACTGATACTTGTTACATTAAGCTGAGATAAGCAATGGCAACCATTAAGAAAGTCTTTGTTTCTTCTCTCTAAAATTTCACATCTAGGCTGAATCATGTCTATAGATGGCAATGTAGCGTTAAACACCACTGTGTTAATGGTATTTAGAGTACATGAAGAACAACGATGCTAGCGCTAACTAGTGAACTACTCAATGCACTTTTAAATCATAACATAACATACATAAACAATTTTGGTATTTAGTTTTCATTGGACGTCACACTCTTATACCCATCTGCAGGGCAAAACAAGGCTTTCCAATTATTTTTTACCAGGTTTGTACTAATATGCTAAATTATTGAAAGATCAAATTCAGTTTGTCACCTTATTGATGATGCATACTATATACAGGCAATGAGCCCAGAATTTGAACACAACACGCTGAATTGAACGTTAAGCATTTTCCCATTGAAAACATTACAAAGAAAAATGTTGTATTCATATTCTGGGCCCATTTCATCATGTGTATGTAGTATGCATGCATTATATATTGAATTTGATCTTTTAATATCACTGTATTAAAAAATTAAGTCACATTAAGTGTTTTTCACATTAAGCATTTTAGACTGTCCCGCTGTTTTTAGTGATTTAAATACTGGGGAGGCTGATGTATATGGATCGCAAATGGCCATAACTTCACAAATCTTTGCTTTTCTTCTTTTGAGAAGGGATTTGAATAATCAAGACTTGAAACAGATGGAAAATGTACTGCACAGCTGCAGTTTTATGGATGTTTTGCGCACCAGTCCTGTGACTCAAAACTATGAATTGTGTTCATAGTGTTATGTCACCACTGGATGTCCAAAGCAAAGCAGGTTGTAAAGTGTCTCACCATCTGGCAGATGCTGGCGTAGCGGGCGAGTACATTGGCATTCTCAATAATAGCAAGATTGGATGGAGTAGTGGGGGTGATCTTCAACACGCAGCGCCATTTAGCAAAGTCAGCGCCGTCTTTTTTATACTGAGCGCAGCGCTCATACAGCCCATCCAGACCTGAGATGGACATACATGAACATTTGTGAAAAGAGAGAATAACATTCATAAATTAAAGTTAAAAAGGATATGAAGAAATGTCATCTATACCCTGTGTGGTTGTCTCTCCGTTGGTGCCGGCCAGAGGTACCACACCCTTGTCCACCTTGATTCCTACCACCATGCCTCTCTCCTTAATCAGCTGAGGGAAAGGCTTGCCATCATCAGTCTTCTGATAGAGAGTCTCATGGAAAAGGATGACTCCACCGATGCAGGGCAGGATGCAGTCGTCAGCGGTGAAAAGCAACTGACGGTACAACCTTCTGTTCTCCTCAGTGTTCTCAGCATTGATGCTCTGGAAGCGCTTTGCTACGCTGCCTAGAGTGACCACATGGTAAAAAGAAAGCCAGTGAATAAGGGCGGAATTGTCTATTTGGGTGAATTTTAATTTTTGAAGCAAGTGAGTGTTTACGTGTACCTGTGGATTCATCAGCTGCAAGAATTCCCTTTCCGGGAGCAACAATTCTCTGAGCAATATCGCTCAGCTCTTTCTTCTGATCAGGGCTTAGGAATGGATATGCATGAGGCATCTTTACTGGAAAGAGGAAAGTGAAATCAGGAACAAAGCAGAT